CATTGTACTCTCAATTTTGATGATGAATGTGACACCATTCCCGTCATAGTAAACCATGTGATTGTCAGATTCAAAATGGCCAAGAGTAATCCATTTCAGTTCATTAATGCCTAGAATATCGATTTATATGCATTCCATTTCATTTTTTACAATTTCTAATTTTCCTAGATTCATATTTTGTCCATCCCATGTTCTGATTATTAATGAACGATTACAGACATTTCTCTTCATTTTGAGTTGTGCCCCATCAGCAAATGAAAGTCTCAACAGCTTTACTCTATTAGCTTCATCACAGTCAACTCTACTTTGAGGCGGTAGTTCTTCCCCAATTGTATTTTGAGTGCCTTCCAACTTGAGGGGCATATCTTCCAGTACTGTATCTGACAATATTCTGGTGCTCTTCATCATGTTTCGATATTCAATATTCTGATTCTGACAGTGTTCCACTGCTATTCATAAGGTTTTCAGTGACTAAACACTCGGAAGTAGTCCATCTCTCCTTCTACCTAGTCTCTTAGTCTGGAAGCTCAGCTGAAACCTGTTCACCATGAATGACCCAGCTGGTATTTAAAATACCATTGGCATAGCTTCCAGAATTACAGCAACACATAAGCTACCACAACAGAGGAGTGATGGTCTCAATGAGTTGTTGTTGTTAAGTGCTGTGGAACATGTCCAGGCTGATAGTGACCCCACATATGGTTTCCGATGCTGTAAATCTTTGCGGGAGTAGAAAGCCTCATCTGTCTCCCTCTGAACAGGCAGTGCGCTTGAACCACTGACCTTTTGGTTCACAATCCAGTGCTTATCATATGGTGCCACCACACTCCTTACATATATATTGTTGTTGTTTTTAAGTGGTGTTGAGTGAGTTCCAGCTTGTAGAGACCCTGTATAGGGTTTCCAGGCGAGGCTGGTCTGTTTGAACCACCGACCTTGCTGTTCAAACCAACCTTGTAGTCCAGTGCTTATCCTACAGCGTGTGCTGTTGGATAAGCACTGGGCTGCTAACTGCAAGGTCGGTGGTTCAAACCCACCAGTCACTCCTTGGAAACCCTATATAGGGTCTCTATGAGCTGGAACCAACTCGATGGCATTTAATAACAACAACAATATGTATATAATTTTCAGTAAAGACCAAGAAGGTAAATTGCATATAAGCACATATAAGGAAATCTGTCAGAATTTTTAATTAAAACTTTTATTTTGTAACTTTATTGTGAGTTGAGTGAAAGTTTACAGACAAAACCAACCTTTTTACTTTCAACAAATACTATACTTTGTTTCATCTCAGTGATTGCAATCCCCTCCATGTAACAACAGTTACCCTTCCTCCTCCCTGTGGTTTCTGTTTCCATTCCACCCCCCTTCCAATCCCTGCTCAACAGAGTCCTTAGGGAAATATTGTCCTTTGATTTTGAATGATTGACAGTTTCATTGTGAGCATACTATACTAGTGTTGTTGTCCCCCTTGTATACCTATCTACTGCTTGGCCATGAGGGTGAATTCCTTTCCTGACCTGAAGGGTGGTAAAGGGCCATAGTCTCAGGTTCCTTCAGTATCTCTCTGACCAGTAAGCCTGGTCTTTTTTAAAAAATAATATTGAGTTTTGGTCCACATATTTAACTGATCTATCTAGGGCCTTCTAATGTGGTCCCTTTCAGAGCAGTCAGTAGTGTTTTCTGTGAACCATCTAGTTCTTTTGGTCTCAGAGTCGTGGAAACTGATGTTCACATGTTTCCTAAGTCAATTGGACTAATTGATTTCAAGTCTTTTCAATTCTCATCACTCTTCTTTCTTGTGCACATGAAGAGACCAACAGCTGCACCTTATGTGACCACTCATGAGTTTTTATGATTCCAGACACCACTCACCAAAAAAGGAGTTCTGGTAACACAGTGGTTACAAGTTGGGCTGCTGACCTCAAGGTCAGCAGTTCAAAACTACCAGCCATTCCATAGGAGAAAGATGAGACTTTCTGTTCCTATAAGGATTACAGCCTTAGAAATCCTATATAGGGTCACTATGAGTCAGAATCAATTCCACAGCACACCAACAACAACAACCACTCACCAAAGTAAGATGTAGAACATTGCCTTTGTGGACTACGTCATGCCAATTGATCATGGTGTCCCCTGAGATTATAGTCCTGAGCCCCCAGGTCCATCAATTCATGGTCTTTAGATGCTTGCTAATGTCTAAGGAGTTTTCATTATTTTACCCACTTTATGCTCTGGTAGCGTAGTAATTATGAATTGGGCTGCTAACCTCAGGGTCAGCTGTTGGAAACTACCAGCTGTTCCGTGGGAGAAAGATGAGGCGTTCTGCTCCCATAAAGATTTACAACCTCAGAAACCCTGTGCAGGGTCACTATGAGTTTTTATTGTGAATTGAGTGAAAATTAACAGGGCAGATCATCAGCTTTACATTCAACAAATCATACAAACTTGTTTCATTATAATGATTATAATTCCCTCCATGTACCATCAGTTAACAGTATTTCTCTCTATTCATTTTAGCTTTTTTTTTTTTTTTTTTAAACACTCAGGCATAGATAATAATTTACACCACCAAAGGGCACATTATGAAAGTCTGTCTCCTGACTGACAGCTCTCAGTCCCTCTCTTCTCATGAATCTAGAGTCCTCAGCTGCTACCTTTCTCCATGTCCCCATCTCTGCCTCCATCTCTGGTGTCGCTACTTTTCTGGATAGGGTTCCGCATTCTGCTTGAGCTCTTCTCCCTTGATGGTCCTAGGGTCCTCTGTTTCTAGACTGTAAGAGTAACTACTCCCCTATTTTGTTACAAAACTTCTGCCTTTACAATTGTGACAGTCGCAATTAGATATGATAACAATTACTCACTACTGAATCATAAAAATCTTATCCCTATCTCTTTTCACCAGACCCATGTAGACAAAATAAAAACTATTCAGTGGGGACTCTATCTCCTCCCCCCTCCCCACCCTTAAATGAAACTCCTTCTTGAAAACTTGTAAGCCAGTCATTTTATGCCTTTATCGTCACCTCATTTTAGTTAGCTAATGTCTAAGTTGCCCATCCCTATCTATTCTGTGTACAGAGGGGACTGTAATATCTTTTAACCTAAAAATATTAGTGTACTATCCCAAAAAAACCACACTTCTCTAGATAAAAAAAAAAATCTTAAAATGCGATGATTTTTGGCTATTATAATCTTACCATCATACAAACTGCTTCGTTATAAAGTGCTAATATACCATTTTGATGAAGACAGAACTAAATTCTTGCTTCACCTAGAGAACTTGATAAACCACACAATACTATAGAACAGAGTAACATTAATCTAAAGAGTGAAATTCACAGGACATTTCTCTTACCCTCTGAGAGAAGCTGGAGTAAATCTGAAGCTTCCTTGCTCATTTAGAACCATTCTATCTCTAAAGATTTTTTCATTAAAAAGAATAGAAAGAAGGTAGTTCAGTTAAAAAAACAAATCTCCTAGTAACTCTTAACATATTTCAGAGAATTTGCAGGTATATTTATAGAAAGAGACCACTTTGGAGAGTATGAGGATATAATATAACTATACATAAAGCTTGCTCTTAGTTTTCCTTTTCCTGAACAATTTATAACACAAAATTGTTTCCTTTCCTTTTTAAAGGAACATATGGACTGGTTACAATGAGAGAACGTCTTTCTTTGCATGGTAACATTCAGAAATGGACTGCGGATGACGTGTACAATTTTATTAGTGATCTTCCAGGCTGCTCAGGCTATGCTTAGGTGACTTAAACAGCATTTAAGTGTTTTCATAAAAGCATGACACTCTGAAATGTGTTTCTGTAATAACAAGCTCTGTCAAACCCACATTTGCATCTAGAGAGGACTCCTAGTGAGTTCCCCTTTTTTAATGCAATGGATTCCCCTGGGGTAGGTGCCTTTGGTTGGTAGAACCTGTATCCTGTGCACATGCCCCAGCTGCAGGTTGTTGTTGTTAAGTGCCATTGAGTTGGTTCCGACCCATAGCGACCCTGTATAGGGTTTCTGAGGAGTGACTGGTGAGCTTGAACCACTGACTTTGCAGTTCAAATGGCTTTGCAGTCTGGCGCATTAACCTACAATGCCACACCAGGAGGCTGGGAAAGCCAATGTCTGTCTTCACTTGCTCTCCTAGAAGGAGGTTCCATTTCCCATTAAGACTCCAAAGATATGGGGATTCTCCCCAGATTGGAAGGAGCTGCAGGGGGCAAATAATTTTCAAGCACACCCATCTGTGTCAGAAGTTTTAGGCTATTCATCATAGTTAGCAAAAATATATAATTCATTCTAAAAAAGAAAAGAAGAAAATAATAATAATAAGGGGAGAAAAGAGGCAAGAAGGCAACAGATCTGAAAAGTAGAAAGTTCACTTTTTTAAATCATAAATTTTGCTGGGATACTAATATAAAAATTCTCATACACCTGAAATTCAGCCTTATAGATAAATGGTGGTGGTGGTGGTGGTGGTGTGCCATTAAGTCAGTTCCCACTCATAGAGAGACCCTGTTAAAATCTTTTGTTGTTGTTGTTGTTATGTGCCGTGGAGTCGGTTCCGACTCATAGCGACCCTACACAGGGTTTCTGAGGCTGTAAATCTTTTTTATGGGAGCAGACCGCCTCATCTTTCTCCTGCGGAACCGCTGGTAGTTTCGAACTGCTGACCTTGCGGCTTGCAGCCCAATTCATAACCACTATTCTACCAGAGCTCCTTACAGGAACAAAAAAGCCTCATCTTTCTCCCTTGGAGCATCTAGTGGATTCAGCAGCTGGTGCTGAACTTGTGGTTAGTAGGCCAACACATAACCCACTATGCTGCTAGGGCTGCTTTGTAGATAAACACTATATTTTAAATTATAATAAACTATTAAGGATCATTGGGAAGAAAGCTAGACTCACTTGTGTGGAAAAATTGCTGACAAAATCATGGATTAGTAAATTTTTAAAGTTTAAGTCCATGGTGGATTTACATGCAAATAGTCTATATTTTCAAATTATTTAATAACTCAATTCCAAGCAACAGTGTGCCTAGTAAACTGGGTATCATTATCTTTGATTTCCATGTTAAAAGAAAAGGAGACTAAGATACAGGACAGTGAATATTGCATTTTATGCTTTATCTTGTAATCTAAAAATATTAGTGTACTAACCCAAAAACCACACACTGAAACATTTTCTAGAACTTCTTTAGGTGAAAATATTTTAAAACATAATGGTTTTGGGCTATGGGTAATCTATCTATCCATCACACTAAAGTGTTAATATACTTGTGGGTATATAGAAATCACATAAATATTGCTGACTTGTCATCCGTCATTCACAGAATAGTGTCCTATACTTCACACCAAGAAATAGTACCAGTTCCTTTTAGGATGTGTTCAGGATCGAGTTCTGCTCTTGTCCCCTCATTAAAGTCCCCTCAGGCAGTGAGAGGTGAATTCCACTGCAAGAATGCTGCCATGCATGCTCAGGTGACTGCTCTGTACAGAAATTTAGAGAATCCCGCACCCTCTCCCTCACCCTCTGCCCTGTCTAAAATGTTCCATCACCCTTTCTTCACAGTCCCGTACAGTAAACAGGTCAGACCAAGCCCCTGGGGACTTAGTGAGTCCAACCTACTGCCTTATTCTCCATTCTTTTCTTCCTCACCTCTGACTTAGGGGTCTTCTGTCTACTCATCAGACTCCAAGCACCTACCTCCTGTTGGCAGAAAAAGAAATTCAGAAAAAAAGACACCTAAAAGCCCAAGTCCCTGGTTAAATCAATTATTGCAAACAGATGTAGCGAGAGGGTTGGAGAACCTGCCACATATTTTGTTTGCTCTAAATGTCTAGTGCAAAGAACACAGTAGATAAAAATATTCTCTCTGGTACACAGCTGACTAAAAACAGGTGCATGGGGCCTGAAATGCTGGTAAGCAACAGTAGTGTGTTCTGCACCCTTGTCTGTGGCTCAGACTGTGCATACCTCCACTATGACTGAGGCTTAGGCCCACATATGCTTCAGGCCTTGGCTGCTACCTCATCTCTATCTGAAAAATTACCCATGACCTTCATGGTTTTTCCTTCTCTGGACTCTCACACATGACCCTTTCACTGTTCCACCAGAAAGCTGTGCAAAAAAGCAAATACCACCACCACCAACAAAAAATCCTTTCACCAAATAAATATAAACCAAACAAACCAACCCACTGTCATTGAACTGACTCCGCCTCATAGCGACCCAATAGGGCAGAGTAAAGCTATTCCGGAAAGCCTCACCTGTCTCCCACAGAGCGGCTGGTAGGTTTGAACTACCAACCTATGGATAGCACTCCAAATGCTTAAGCCACTATACCACTGAGGTCAATTAAATTTAGTTAACTATTTTCATCAACACTCCTTTTTTGAATGGCAGATTCATAAAATACCACCAATGCGAACAGTTGGTGTCCAGTCGATTCTGACTCATGGTGACCCATGTGTATCAGAGTAGAACTGTTCTCCATAGGAGTTTCAATTCTTAATTTTTTAGAAGTAGCTTTCCAGACCTTTCTTTCAAGGTGCCTGCAGTTAGACACAAATTTCCAACTTTTCTGTTAACAGTGGATCACATTAATCCAGGGACTACTCATAAAATAAAGACTGTTAATTTACAAATCCTCTCATTTGAAACCTGTGTGTTTTGGGGGCAGCTCATTTAATCTTTTTTTACTCTTTTATCAAACCTAATAATAATAATGCCTACTATATGGTGGACACTGATAATGTGTCAGGCATTATACTAGAGACATCATTCAATTGTCTTTTAAATTCATATAAAGCTATATAATAATTCTACAAAGGTATTAAACCTATTTTATTAATGTGTACTGTGAGTGAGTACTTGAAAATGTGCATAGGACTACACATTTAATTATTTCATTAATACTCTACCAATAATACTCTACATTGATGATATGGCTTCCAACCATATGGCTTCCAACAAAGGGTCTATGAGCCTCTATGAGTTCTCAGTTGGGGTAAAAGGGATTCATAAATTGTACTCCATATTTCTAAAAAACCTAAAGGTGATCATACATTTTCCCAAAATAAGATTATACAGATTCACCCTAACTACTGTTTGCCTTGCCCAGAATTAAGTTAATTCATACTAGCCATTCTATGATTTGCTTAATTAAAATAGGAAAATAATTACTTAATAAATATAATTTGTAAATAACTAAAAGCTATTAGTACAGTAGGTTTCTAGCACTGAAATTTCCCAAGAAGATTCTGTTTTTCAGCTGGCCCTAAGGCTTGCCCTCCGAGGCATAGAACATAGAGTGCTAAGAAGACAGGTATGATTCTTCTTCTCATGGCGTTTATAGTCTAGAAGACAGCTGCCGGCAAACAATTCCACATCAATGTGCGCATGCTCTGAGGTGTGGGGCATGACAGGAACACACAGAAGAAGCTGCTGGCATCTGAAGGAAGAGATATCCAAAGTGAGACTTAAGGGTGATGCGGAATTTGCCAGAAAAAGGGCGAAGTGAGTCAGGAGGGAGGTAAAGGAGGAATCTCCAAACAGTAGGCCATACATATCAGAGAGAACTTGGCACAGTTGGGGTTTTGAGAGTAGATGGCAAGACAGGAAGCTGCCAAGGTAGAAGCAGCCAGGTCACAAATGGGCTTGAAGACTCAGGGCAGGATTGGCAGTTTTCAGCAAAAATGTACATGGCTAGCTTTATACTTCAGAAAGGTTACTAGGGTTGCTTTTATGAAAAAAATAAGTTAAAGGAGGCAAAATCAGTGAGGAAGAATGAAACATGAGTGAGGATAGGACCGGACCAGACAGATAAGAATGTTATCTAAGACAGAATTGATATTATTTCACTTCTGAGTTAATAAGCACTGGTGGCGCAAATGGTTAAGCGTGGCTATTAACCCATGTCTACTAATCCCCCTCAAGGAGCTCTGGTAGTGTAGTGCTTACGAATCAGGCTCCAAGCCTTAAGGTCAGCATTTGGGAAATACCAGCTGCTCCGCGGGAGAAAGATGAGGGTTTCTGCTCCCGTAAAGATTTACAGCCTCGGACACCCTGTACAGGGTCGCTATGAGTCGGACTCCACGGCACACAGCCACCACCACTAATCCCCCTTAGTGGTTCTGCAGGAGATTTGCTGATCTGTTTCCATAAGGATTACAACCTAAAAAACTCTATAGGGCAGCCCACTCTCTCACATGGGTTTTCTATGAGGTGAAACAACTCAGTGGCACCTAACAACAACAAATTATCTAAAAAATATCCCCTGAAGTTGTCTTAAAACCAAACAATAGTTTAGCTTAACTAGTAAAAAGGAGAAAAAGAAAAAAAATCTGCCTTGTTGTTAGTGCCGTCGAGTCGGTTCCGACCCATAGCGACCCTGAACAGGGTTTCTGAGGCGGTAAATCTTTACGGAAGCAGAAAGCCTCAACTTTCTCCCACGGAGCGGCTGGTATTTCGAACTGCTGACCTTAAGGTTCCCAGCCTGATCTGTAAAAAGGAAAAAATAGAAAAAGAAAAAGTTCTGCCTTGAGCATTATGTTATTTGTGGCAATAGTTGTGTGCAATGGAGTCGGTACCAGTTCATAGCAACCCTGTACAGGCTGTAACTCTTTACAGCTGTAAATGTTTATAGATGCAGAAAACCTCATCTTTCTCCCCCAGAGCAGCTGATGGATTCAAACTGCTGATTTTGTGGTTAGTAGAGTCCTGGTATGGCGCTGTGAGTTAATGCGCTAGGCTGCAAAGTCAGTTTGAACTGCAAGGTTGGTGGTTCAAGCTCACCAGTCGCTCCTTGGAAACCCTCTAGAGGGTCGCTATGGGTCGGAACCAACTCGACGGCACTTAACAACAACAACAAGCCCACTGCATAACCCAGTAAACTACCAAGACTTCTTACTACGTTCTTTAGGAACTATCTACTTGTGATCAAAGTAACAACAAAATTTGACAGATTAAATAGGAACCTTAGGGAGGGGGCTGTGAATTTACGTTAATGTGGGAAGAAGGACTCAGAAAAGCATGGAGAGAATGGTTGCAGAACTGGAAGAAAGTAACCAATGTCCCTGAAATGTACGTGTCGAAATAGCTGAATTGGTCTGTGTTTTGCTCTTTATAGTCTCAGCAATATCAACAAAATGAAATAAAGAAAATATATGTGTATACAATGGCCCAAGTGGCTAAAAACAAACAAATAACAATGAGCACAATTAATAACATATTCCTGGAGCATAGAAACTGAAAATAAGAAATTTTATGAAAATTTCTGTCATTCTCAAGCAATCTTAATGTTTCCCTCAAACCAAAATATCTATTATAAAATACGGGAACAATTTTTTTTTTTTTTTTTTTTAAATATCATTTGGACAAAAAGTTAACACCTTTTGTATATAATAAGGTTTTTAAAGATCATGCAATTGACGGAGCAACTTTGCTCTTACTCACAGAGGAGCATCTTGGCGACAGTATGGGATTAAAGCTAGGGCCAACACTAATAGTTCAATCTCAGGTATGATGATTCTCTATAACTAAATGTGTATTCATGGCATGAAACATACGATATGTGTTACTTTCATCCTGGTGTGGTATAAATAATATATATTTAGCCCCTTCCTAGTATCTTCCAGGAGTCCTGGTGAGGTACTGTAGGATAAACACTGGACTGCAAGGTGGTTTGAACTGCAAGATCGGCAGTTCAAATCCACTAAGGTGCTCCTCATAAACCCTATACAGGTCACTATCAGTTGGAAATGACTCGCCGGCACTAATCAACAACAACAACAAAATCTTCCAAAATCTCTTTGGATGGGAACAAAATAGAAATTAGGGAACCTAAAAACTTTAGCTGGATTGGTGATACACTTTTCTATGTGTTTCCTAGTTGGAAGGTTTTCACTAATGGTATAGTGGTAAGTGGAGTCTTGGTGTGGCACTGTAGACTGCTAACGACAAGGTCGGTGGTTCAAATACACCAGCTGCTCTTTGGAAACCCAACACATGGTCATTATGAGTCAGAACCAATTCAGCGACACTAATAATAACAACATTCTCATAAGTGTTTAACAATCATAGTTCTTTAAAAAGGAGAGAAAGAGTCCTGATTTGTAGCATTTGTAGACTTCTGTAGTGTTAATACTCTAACCATTGTTGAGTTCAAGCTACCACTGTGATGTCACTAAACACAGAACTGGGACGAGATGCACAGCAGCAGACTTTTTCATAGTATTTTCACCATACAAATACAATAGATGCAAATAACCTTAAGAACAAACATAATAGTAAACAATAGTAGTAAAATAACTAAGTAAAAATGATTAGAAAATGATGAGGTTTGATTATTTTATTACTTCTATCACTGTAGGATAAGCACTGGACTGCTAACTGAAGGGTCGGCAGTTCATACCCACCAGCCGCTCTTCAGAAACCCTGTACTTGGTCGCTATGAGTTGGAACTGACTCAAGGGCACGTCACAAAAACATTTTCAATATGAGTATCTCTGGTAGTGTGGTGGGTTATGAGTTGGGCTGCTAACCACAAGGTCAAAAGTTAAAATCTACCAGGGAGAAAGAGGAGACTTTCTGTTCCTATAAAGATTTATAGTCTCAAAAATCCCGTACAGGATTGTTATGAGTTGGGAACTGACTCCGTGACACATGACCACCACCACTATTTTCAATATAATTTATTTAATTGTAATTTTATGTAAATTTTAATAATGGTATGTTGAACAACTGGTTTGCAAACATCCTGAAAATTTAACTCTCAGCAGCTGTGAGCTGGTACAAGCTGGTTTCAATACACCAGGGTATGTCTATGTGTCTGTGTTATCTATCTGTAGAAACAACCACCTCTACTGCTTCACCCTGGTCCCAGGTATCATCATTTCTCACAGCATTAACATTATAAGTGTTCTCCCTGCTCTGTCCTTGCCCACACACCCATAATCTGTTCACAAAAGAATAAAGAACAGTGCTTTAAAATTTTTCATCAGGTCTAGAATATACATCCCATTACAGCAGGGATCTTTATCTGTTATGTTGACTGATAGATCCCTAGATCATGTGAGGCACATAATGGTGGTGGTTGTGGTTGTGTGACACTGAGTCAGTTCTGACTCATAGGACCCTGTGTAGGGTTTCTGGGGCTGTAAATCTTTATAGAACCAAAAAGCTTCATCTTTTTCCTGCAGAGCACCTGGTAGACTCGAACTGCAGAACTTGCGGTTGAAAGACCAGCTCATACTCCACTACGCTGATATATCTCTAGATCATGTGAGACCCATAATAGACCAATAAATATTGGTTGAAAGGATGAACTTCCTAACAGCAACACTAAAAGTGAAACTGAGAAGCAGCTATTAATTTCCCCCAATATTTATGCAGGACTGCACCTAAACGGCATAAATCCTGAAGAAATTTAATAGCTTCTTCTCAGTTTCACTTTTTTTTTTGTTGTTTTCTTGATGTTGAGATGTAAACCATACTAAAGGCTTTCTTATAATGGATTTTTATCTTCATTGGTAATGCTTCAAGTCCTCTTCACTTTCAGCAAGCAAGGTTATGTCATTTATATATCTCAGGTTGTTTATGAACCTCCCTCCAATCATCATGCAACATTCTTCATTATATACATAGTTTCTAAAATTATTTGCTCAGCATACTGATTGAATAAATATGGTGAATGTATACAACACTGATTTTAAACCACACAGTATCTCCTTGTTCTGTTTGAATAATGGCCTCTTGGTCTATGTACAGGTTCTGCATGAGCACAATGAAATGTTCCGGAATTCCCACTCTTTGTAATATTATCCATAATTTGCTATGATCCACACAGTCGAATGCCTTTACGTAGTTAATAAAGCACAGGTAAACATCTTTCTCATATTCTATGCTTTTAGCCAAGATCCATCTGACATAAGCAATGATATTCCTTGTCCCACATCCTCTTCTGAATCTGACTTGAATTTTTGGTCGTCCCCTGTTGATGGGTTACTGCTGTATCTTCAGCAAGACTTCACTTGCATGTGATATTAATGACACTTTTAAATAATTTTTGCATTCTGTTGGTTCACCTCTCTTTAGAATGGATGCAAATATGAATCTCTTCAAGTCCATTGTCCAAGTAGCTGTTTTCCAAATTTCTTGGCATAGATAAATGAATGCCTCCAGAATTACATGTTTCCTGAAACATTTCCATTGGTGTTCTGTCAATTCCTGGAGTCCTGTTTTTTGCTAATGTCTTCAGTGCAGCTTGGACTTTCTTCAATAGTACTGGTTCTTAATCATAAATTAACTCCTGAAATGGTTGAACATCAACCAATTCTTTTCCGATAAAGGACTCTGTGTATTCTATCTTCTTATGACAGTTCTTGCGTCATTCTATATCTTCTCCATAAAATCCTTCAATATTTCAACTCAGGACTTGAATCTTTTCTTCAGTTTCTTCAGCCTGAGAAATGCTGAGTGTGTTCTTCTCTTTTGGTTTTCTAACTTCAGGTCTTTGCACATTTCATTATAATACTTTACTTTGTCTTCTCAAACAGCCCTTTGAAATTTTATGTTCAGCTCTTTGACTTCATTTTTCATTTACTTTAGATACACTATGTTGAATAGCAAGTTTCACAGTCTCTTCTGACATTCACTTTGGTCTTTTCTTTCTTTCCTATCTTTTTAATGACATTTTGCTTTCTTCATATATGGTGCTTTTGATGTCATACAGCAACTCCTCTAGGTTTCAGTCATTAGTGTTCAAGGCATTGTATCTGCTCTTGAGATGGTGTCTAAATTCAGATGGGATACATTCAAAGTCATATTTTGGTTCTTGTAGTCTTGTTTTCATTTTCTTCGGTTTCAGCCTGAACTTTCATATGAACAACTGATGGTCTGCCTGTTCTACAGACAGTTACTAGCCTTGTTTTGGCTGATGATGTTGAGGTTCTATATGGTCTCTTCACACAGATGTAGTCAAGTTGCTTCCTATGTATTCCATCTGGTAAGGTCCATGGGTATAGTCACCTTTTATATTATTGAATTAAGGTTTCTGCAGTGAGTAAATGGTTGGTCTTGCAAAATTCTATTATGTGATCTCTAGTGTCATTTCTAACACTAAAGACTGTACTTTCTACTACCAATACTTCTTTGTTTTCAACTTTCATATTCCAATCACCAAGAATTATCAATGCAACTTCATTTCATGCTTCATGAATTTCAGACTAAAGAAGTTGATAGTATTTTGCAATTTTTCAGCTTTGTTTGTTGGTGGGTAAATTTGAATAGTAGTTTTATTAACTGGTCTTCTTTAGAGGCGAGCATATAGATTATACTTTCAAAGACAGCATTGTACTTCAAGTTAGATCTTGAAATGCTCTCCATTTTGCCATTCCTAGCATAGTAAACTGTATGATTGTCCAATTTAAAATGGCCATTACTTCTCAATTTCAGATCACTAATACCTAGGATATTTGTCTTTATGCATTCCATTTAATTTTTTGATGACTTCCAATTTTCCTAGACTCATAATTTGTACATTCCACATTCCAGTTATTAATGGATGTTTGCAGTTGTGTCTTCTCATTTTCAGTTGTGTCTCATCAGTAAATGAAGGTCCCAAAAGCTTTGCTCCCTCCATGTCATTAAGATCAACTCTACTTTAAGGAGTCAACTCTTCCTTAATCATATTTTGAGTGGCTTCCAACCTGAAGGGCTTGTCTTTTGGTACTATATCAGATAATGTTTTGCTGATATTTATAAAAGTGTCAGCAACTAATTCCTCAGAAGTGAACCACCTATTCCTTCTTCATAGTACTAACCCCACTAGCATTGGTCAATTCCAGTTCATAGTTACCTTGTATAGGGTTTCTGAGGCAATAAATCTTTTTGGGAATAGAAATCCTCATCTTTCTCATCTGCCGATCTGGTGGTTAGCAGTCTAGTGCTTATACTACACTTTAAAATTCTTTTGGCCTCAACCTACTATCCAATTCCAAAACTGCTTCCACATTTTGGGTATCTGTTACAGTGATGCCCCCTCTTCCCATATCCAATTCTGTTTTAGAGTAACAGAAAAACACTAAGTGTTAACAAACAAACATATTTTCTCACAGTTTAGGAGACTAGAAGTCGGAATTCAAGATACTAGCTCTAGGAGAGGACTCCTGGTATGGCGCTGTATGATAAGTACTGGACCACAAGGTCAGTTTGAACCACAAGGTGGTGTTGGTGGTGGTTATGTGCCGTGGAGTTGGTTCTGACTCATAGCGACTCAGTACAGGGTTTCCAAGGCTGTAAATCTTTATGGGAGCAGAAAGCTTCATCTTTCTCCTGCGGAACAGCTGGTAGTTTTGAACTGCTGACCTTAAGGTTCGCAGCTCGATTCGTAACCGCTATGCTACCAGAGCTCCTTGTCATGTCATTGTTTTTTAAAGAAACTTTTACCTTCTTTCATGTATCAGTTCAAATTTTATTTGCAGATCCTCCAAACGCTTCTGTTTATGCTCATCCATGAGTTGTTTCGGTACCCATCTTGCACAAACTTCTCAAAATGGGTCTGTTGTGGATTATTTCATAGGCAGAGCACCATGGTTGATTGGCAAATGATTTGCCACATAATCTACTGTCATTCATCTGTTCAGCAGAATCATTTCATATGCATGCTCAATGTTGTCACCAACCATGGACACAGACAGGGGTTTTAATATAATCTGAGTGTGGATAATTTTTGACTCATCTTAAACGAGATGCACTCAAAATAGGCCCAACGCAATCCTGTCTCATTAACATAACAAAGACAACCCATTCCCAAATGGGATGATAACCACAAGCATTGTTGTTGTTGTGTGCCTTCAAGTCAGTTCCAATCTACAGCATATAGGGTTTCTGAGAATGGCTGGTAGGTTTAAACTGCCGACCTCTCACTTCCCAGTCTACTACCAGCAGATAATGGGTACAACATCACACCAGGGATCTATAAGCATAGATGTTAGGATATACAACACATATTTGTTGTTGTTAAGTGCTGTCGAGTCCGTTCCGACCCATAGCAACTCTGTATAGGGTTTCCAAGGAGCAGCTGGTGAACTTGAACTGCTGACCTTTTTCAAATGGCTTTGCAGTCTGGCGCATTAACCCACAGCACCACACCAGTCAATCCAGGGGAGACTTTCTTTCATCTGTGGTTACACACAGTGTGCTGGGTTACTGAAGGAATCCCATAGGCTTAATCACTATAATTATTCTATCTTCAAAGGCATCTCAGCATGTGGGAAGTATATTTTATAAGAAAAATCTTTCACTTCCTATCCATAAATATTCTACAAGGCAAGCATTTGACCCACCAGCAGATACATCCTCTCTTTTGGATTATGATTCCTGGGGTGATACATCAGGAATTCTTTGCACCCAGGACATAATTCCTAAAGGAATTGAGCAACGTAGTATGAGAAATTAAAAGCCCTCAAGGAGAAAAACAATATTTTCCATTTTTCCAAAGTGTGTAGGATATTCCAAAGTACATGTGAGGATTTTCCAGGAGCAGAGGAGGCCATGGAGGAGAGACGCCCTCTTGGATCTGTCTTGGAGAAGACTTTGATTAAGAGACTTACTTCTAGGAATGAAATGACCTTAATACAAAACAGCTGGAAAGTATTCTTGATGCTAATGTTAAATGACAGAGAATTTGGAAGCATAAGAAAGTTACAGTTAGATGTACCCAGATGGAAATCTCCCCAAAAGAACCCACGCTAAAATTTTTAAGAAACATAAGAAGTTTCAACCTTTAAAGTTCAGATGTTGGAAAGCGATATGCAAAAGCTTGAAACAAGACCTTTACCTCACACCATATACAAAACCCAACTCAGCATGGATTAAACCTATACGTGAATCCCAGAATTATGAAGGCCATCAATGAAAAAATAGGGACAAATGTGAAGGCTCTAATTCAGGGAATACACAGACTACCAAACATTTTGAAAACTGTACAAACAAAAGCAGATAAAATAGATGATTGGGACATTCTAAAAATTAAAAATTTACATGCATCAAAAGACTTCACCAAAATAGTAAAAAGGGAACCCACAGAATGGGAAAAAATCTTTTGCAAGGACACATCAGACAAGGGACTCATTTCTAAAACATATAGGAAACTACAACACCTCTACAAGAAAAAGACAAATAACCCAATTAAAAAACGGGCATAGGACATGAACATGCACTTCACCAAGGAGGAGCTCCAGGCAGCCAATAAACATATGAAGAAATGTTCACGATCACTAGCCATTAGAGAGCTGCAAATCAAAACAACAATGAGCTATCATCTCATACCAGCAATAACAGCAACGATCAAAAAAGTAGAGGGTAATAAATGCTGGCAAGGATCTGGAGAGACTGGGATGCTCCTGCATTGCGGGTGAGATTGAAAAATGGTCCAACCTCTCTGAAAAGCAATATGGTGCTTCCTCAGAAGGTTGGAAATAGAAATACCTTATGATCCAGAAATTCCTCTACTTGGCATTTACCCACAAGAAATACGAGCATAACATGAATAGATATATGCGTACCAATGTTCATAGCATCACTATTTACAACAGCAAAAAGATGGAGACAGTCTAAGTGCCCATCAACTGAAGAATGGATAAACAAACTGTGGTACATACACACAATGGAATATTATGCTATCTTGAAGAGTAACAAGGAAGCTGCAAGCCACTGCATAACAAAGATGAACCTTGAGGACATTATGTTGAGTGAAATTAGTCAGTCACAAAATGAGAAATACTGCATAGGACCACTATTGTAAAAGACTAAGAAAAAGAACCCGTACTAAAGGGGGTGGAGGGATTCTCTGCTGGTTGCTGGGATATGGGGAGTGGGGTAAGGGGAGGAAGGAGAAGGTGGAACTCAGAGTAGGAAATAGACACAGGATAGTTTGGGTGCTGGAGAGCAGGGTAATACACAAGAAGGGGGAGGGGAATGGAAGAACAAAGCAGATGGGAGAACAATTAGGCAGGTTTGCATGAGCTAAGTGGGACAGAGGTAAATAATGATGTATGCACAACCTTGGAA